CTCTCTCTCTCTCTCTCTCTCTCTCTCTCTCTCTCTCTCGGTGGGCCCGGGCGTTAGTGTCCGCCCCACGCTGAACCCCGGCCACTCGGGAACCTGCCCGGAGCGCGCGGAGGTGGTGCGCAATTCCCCAAGGAACTGGCAACGCCACCCGACGGGCGCCCCGAGACGGGTGCAGCAGCCTCTGCCGGGGTCCGAGGGGCGTCCCAGGCCCACCCCGCTCGCAGACGGGCAGGTGGGAGCTACGGAGCCTCCCCAAGCCTCCGTGTCCGAGCCACAGGGAAGCCTGCGCTCGCCTCGGGACGGCGGCCCGCAGCGAGGCCCGCCGGGCCCCACAGAGCTCCCAAGAATTGCAATGATGATGGTAAAAATGATACAAGCGATTCATGTAATTTTTTAAGTGCTTATGTCAGGCTAGCCTTACACACATGTGGTGCCTTAGCACGCATGTGTTCCCGCATTTCATCCTTACTGCAGCCTCACACCATTATCCATAGTGTACAACTGAGGAAACTGAGGCCATGTGGATCCCTTGCTCAAGGTTACCCGGCAGCCAGGGCCTGCGCTAGGATCTGAAAGCCTGTGTTCTTCTTAATCACTATAGTATACTGACTGTTGTTTCAATATAATTTAACATTTATTGAGCTCCTACTACAAGCTGCTAAGTTTTATCATGTCTTCTCCTTCAACAACTGCATGTTATTTGCCAGTATCATTTTACAAATGAAAAGCTAGAGCCAGGAAATGGTATATTACTTGCCCACAGTCACACGGTTAATAAATGGCATAATTTAAATTCAATTATCCCAACTCCATCTGATTCAGAAGCCTAAGCTCCCTCTACCGTACCACTGTCAGCACTTTTCTATGCCAAGAACACTTCGTGTCAATGTAAGACAAAGGTCTTTTCTTAATTCCATCGCATTTTCCAATGGTCACAAACCCATGCAAATACTGGGTCAAGGGCAGGTCAATACAAAATAATCTTGAAATACCTGATAGTCTGAGGTCATGATCAGTCCACCTGAGGTAGTGGTAGGAGGAACAACTCTCACTTTTTTCAACGGGGGTCCCTGTGTGTGACTGCTGTCTTGATTCCCTGGGTGGCCAGTTCCATTAGTGTGGTTATTGCCCTGTTGCTGCTGCTGGTTCTTCTCAATTGGTTAAACAAAAAAAGAAAGTTCAACTCAGAAGGAGAACAAAATACACCCGAACCTGAAGATGTCACGGCAGCACTGACCAAAACAAGACGCTGCCGACTACTCTCTAACACTTACTTTGTCTCCTTTGTCATCCGGTTCTTCTTCTGTTAAAAATTCTCGTTTTGGGTAAGGGATTTGACAACCGGCAAAAACACTGATCACAAGAAAAAAAAAAAGACTTCTGGTATAATAATCAATATTTCAAATGCTTCATTTAAGTGGTTTTCATTTTAATCTTTTAAGATGGACTTTGTCTCCATATTTATAATATAAAAACCTTTCATACAACTGGGACAGAATGAATCTTTTTTTCTCATCAGTGACATTACAGCAGGCCATTTAAGGACTTTTCATTGAATAAAAATAATAATCATCTAATATGACTCAACATTTTCGTTTATCCCAGCATTATTCTTTTATTTTTACAACCAAAATATAGATTCCAGCCACAATGTCACTATTCAAACACAATTGTTTTTTACCCTCCCTACCACATTTAAAATAAAAGATGGGACGGGGAATACACATGTATCTGGGAATGGGATTTGTGACTGGAACACAAAACTGTGACTGAGAGCGGTGAACAATCTCAGTGAGCAGGAGTGAACTGCACATGAGACTTGGCCTTCACTGAACAGCTGGATGACAGCTGAAATGAACGCCAGAGACATTCGTAAAGCAACAGAGAAACAGGACACCTCTTCACTCTAAAACCCTATGTGACACTTGAGTCATCAGAGCTCATTTTTTTGCTTGTCATAAGGATTTCCGTGGGTCCCTACATAAAAGGAGTGGCAACTTGGAGTTGACAACTGAAAGAAAACAGGCCTCCCCCAATTTTATTATGCTGGTGAGTTAATAAATTGATCACTTACTCTGATGTAGGAAGTGGGTCTTCTAAGAAATAGGGATCCTGCATAGCCTGTTCTGAGGTAATTCGCTTTATTGGGTCCATGGTAAGCAACTTCTGAAGCTGAAACCGTAAGTCATCAAAATGTTACTGCATTACTTCTAGTTATACCCCTCGGCACATATGTGGCAGGTATATGTTTTTCGATGAATAACACCACGATTTGGAGGGCATTTATTCCCCCAAGTTAAGATAAAAACTAATCATTAAATTTAATGTAGTAATTCACATTTTAGTCATTCTAATATTCATTATCTCTGTGGTTCTCCTATAAGAAGTAACTAAACTTGTATCTTCTTACTCTAAACAATGATCTTTTCCCTGTTATCTAAATTGCTTTATCCAATTTAGAACAGGACTAAAATTCTTCTATTTTTTATTCTTTTTCTATTAAGAGGAAAAAATGTTATAAGACAAATAATACACTACCACAAACAGCTATTTAAACTTAAATCCAAATTAATTAAAATGAAATTAAATTTAAAAATCAATTTCTTAGTCATATCAGTTACATTTCTGAAGTTCAATAGCTACATGTTGCTAGGGCTACCTTATTGCACAGCACAGCTCATCAGGGAAAGCTCTCCTGGACAGTGCTGCACTAGTCTAAATAAATATGGTGACTGATACAGAACTTGGAAAGTACAGAGGTGTAGTTAGGTACAGAGGAGATTCTGGAAAGAGGCTGCTTGGGTTAAAATCCTGACTAGATATTTATTAGTTGAGTGACTTTGGAAAAGTTAGCTAACCTCTTTGTAACCTCATTTGTCAAATGGGGACTAAAAATAGTACCTGTTTTCAAAGGTTTGTTTTCAGGGTTAAGTGAGTGGATATATGGAAAGCAATTATAATGGTTCTTGGCACAAAGAAAGCATTATATAAGTGTTAGCTATTATTTCTATTATCATCATCACCATCATCCACCACACAAAGAAATGTCACACTAATGTGAAAACTCAGTATTTTCTGGGTTAAAACATAGTTTACTGAAGGCTCTATGGACTAGAATATTTGATTTTAATATGTGGTTTAAGAGATTATCTAAATAATGCTCTCTTTGCTTACAGCCTCTGATATAATGCAGTGGTTTTCAGACTTTAGAATACAACAGAATCACCCTGGAGCGCTTCTTAAAACAGAACGCTAGACCCTACTCCCAGGGCTCCTACTGGTCTACCTGGGCAAGCACCCAAAGATCTGCACTGTCAACAAGTTCCCAGATTATTCTAATGCTGCGGGACTAGGGTCACACTTTGAAAACCAAGGAACTAATAGACATGTTGAGCCTTTATAGGAGGTGACACGATTAGAGGACAGGACAAAACATATTTAAAAATGCATCTCAAAATGCTTTAGATGATGAGATTTAAATTTAATTTTAATCTGATATTTTAACGAAAGCACAATTTTATTTTTAGAGTTGGAAGGGAAAGCATGGATTTACTATTTAAAATACTCAACAACAGTTTTAATGGAGTTATAGCTGAGCTTTCAGATGGGACCACCCGAGACAGTAAAAATAAGCAAATCAGCTGCAAAGGAGGCAGATCTCTAGAGCAGCAATGGCAGTGAGCGTCACCTCAGGCTACACTGAGAAGCAGTGAGTTAGGCGGGAAGAGTAATTCTCCTAAATCATGACTTTTGATCTATCACTATTATTATTCTGTAGAATAAATAAGTTCATCCTTTTGAAGGATCTAACTTACCTTCTAATTTGGGTCCTGTTGTAAGTACATTACAATAAACATTATTTGGATAATAGTACATTGTGTGGTAATATAATACGTTGAGCACTGCTTTTTAAATTGCTGACAAGATATGAAATATGTGATATATGACAATATAAAAATAAGTAGAAGATGCAGAAGCAGAAACACTAGAAGGAGAAGAAAAGCAGAAACAGAAGAAATGTTTGCCAAGTGGCACAGACTATAATAAAGGAAAGTTTAATCCTGTCAAAGTAAAAAAAATTCCCATTTTATAAACTCATTAAAAAATATTGGGAATAAAGGAGTAAAAGGATTTTAAGCCAAGCAAAATATAACCTGATTTCCCCCTTTTATGTTATATAACTTTTTTGGGAAACATAAAAGTGAAACACATTTTTAATTTTTATGGCATAAAAATGGAAATATTTTAAATAAATTTAAGTTGGCAATAGTTGAATATAATCCCATCATAAATTGTCTTGATAGTGCATGGATTAATTCAGATTCTAGGTCATCATTTTTCCAATATATACTGATAATACTGCATCTCTCATGCTCTTCCAGAAAAAGCAAATAATACACACAATCACTGAAGGACTTCTAGTACCCAATTTATAAGAGGTATCTTGGGAGTTAAAAATTTTATAAACAGCTTTTCAAAGAGTTGAAATACAAAATAATCTATAAAATACATTTCTGAATGGTGGAGTTATTTTCTTCTTGAGCTTCTCTGAAATTTAAAAATTTTTTAAATAACTGATGAAACCCGATAAAGTAATTTTCAAAATGCTGTCTTGACAGACTTGGTATAATGACTATCTTTAGAAAATCTAATCTAACCATGTCAAATCATGCTATGGGTTTGCAAAAACAAATATTTTGATGCCTTTACTAATATTTACTGTTAAAGTACTCTAAATGTGCTGAGTAACCATATAAATTGACCCTATAAAACCTCAGGATGGGCTAATCAGTTGGGGGGAGGGATGCATTTTATTAGTACTGTTCGCTCAAGCTTACCAAGTGGAATGCTTTACTATCTGGTTTAACTTTATGTTTTTCCATATACTTGATAAGGCTGCAGTTGGTATACCTGAAAGAGAAATACTATGAAATATCTACATTAGATTTGAGGTAAATTTTACATTGGCTGAAGTTTATCAAGCAGAATTCTTTTAATCATAATCAATATAGAATGTATATTGAAAATGGTATGATAAGTATAAAAAGAGTGGCATTAAATCAATTTTATACTTCGCTGAATATTCATATTAGCCACTTTTGAACAAATGCCACAGATTACATGCAAGATAATTTCATTAATAATATATACTGAATAGCTTTTTTCATATGCATGTTATCTCAACAATTATCTGAAATAACATATGGGTCAAAAGTTTAACTCAGCCTTAAATAAATGAAAAAGAAAAAAAAATTGTTATAGGTCTATAAACTGCCCTCTCCCAATCCCCTGAGCTTGCATTGTAACTAAATGAAATATTCCTTCTTTTCTATTAGAGCTTGCTTAAAATTACACAACCCAGGTGGGTAGGCAAGTGCTATTTGCAAGGTTTTTTTAAATTTTTATTTCAGTCTCTTATTGCCTCAGCTATGATACTTTATAATGCATGCTTCCAGAAAGTAATAAATATGGAAAAAAATTAAGAATTGTCTCATATCCAAAACAGCTGCTAATATTAGATATTTATCTTCTTTATGTCATTTAAACATCTTAGGAAATGAAGACTGGCACAATGTAAGAAATATTCATTAGAGTAAATATGTAAAATTACTTATTAGTATAATCTTATGTTGCGTATACTATTATACTGAGTAGTCAATCTTCTCGAGTATTCTGGAAAAGCAAAACTCAACAAAAGATCTATTTTCTTTCCAACTTACGTATTTCTTCTGAAATCTTTCATTAATGTTGAATGTTCAGGCATCTTTTTTATATCTTCCCAATCTTTATCTGTGAAATACATTGATACAATTTTATGTTGTCCAGGTTCTTATTCTCAAGAACTTTAGTAAAAGTTACCTCAATTTTCATTACATTTCCTATATTTTTAACCTCCATGAAAGCACAGACTTCAAATAAATGGTCAGCAATAGTAAACATCTTATCTTGAACTGTAACTACAATTCTACCTTGCATAGCGTTAGATTTTTCTCTTTTTAATGCCTACTTTCTATGTGTTTTACTATGTATTTGTTACCTCAGTTTCTATAACTAGAGGGTAATAAGTTATAGATAAACATTTCTAATATTAAATAATTCTGTTACTATTTGTAAAACCAACTTTTTTTCTTTTTCTACAAAATTAAATCAGTAACCAATCTATTGGTAAGTGTAGCATCTTCCCCTCAGTAGCTTTAAGGTTCACTTATTTTTATATGGCCCTCCTTACTGTCACCTTATTAACTACATTGCTTTACATCAGCCATCTAGGTAAGCAGTAGGAATTATCTGAAATAGAATAGAGTAGGATATAACTAGTATATTAATTAGTCAGCTGTTGCCTTGGCTAGTTTCAGTAACTAACAAAAATAACCTCAAGTACTAATATATTAGGTAGAAAACGTTCCAGCTAGTTTTGCCGGCATTAGAGTTACTCAAACAACACATGCTAGACAGCTCGTTTTCTCTGTCATTATGAATGAACTTTTACTAGGTGCACAGCACTATAATAGGGAGCTGAACAGCACCTTTAGCTTTTAAATGGCCTTTAGAGGTTTGATTTTCTTTTAATTTACTTGTAAGAATATTTGCTACCTTCCTCCACAGATGTCACATATTATAAAATAAACTAAACATATACTTTAAGCTCATCAATGGAATTTTCTGCACTATTTTCTTCAATTTCTCTATTTTGTCAATTCAAGCTAGAAATCTTGAGATAATCTTTTAACTTTTCCCTCAATTACCCACTTCTTATAAAAAGTTATATATCTGCCCTTCACTCTCCACCCTTACCCTGGAGTGCTGCTGGGGGCAAGCAGCTGGTTTCCCCGGCTGACGCTCCTGTCTTTCACTGATTTTCACACACCACTGCCATTCTACTCTTTTCAAAATGTAACATAAACCGTGCCGCTGGTTCCCATGCTTTGGCCGTGCATCCTCATTCCTTAGCGCGCCGAGTCGAAGCTCTGCCGCCCGCCCTTCCGACGGGCTGGAAGCGGGCCGCGCGGAGGAATCGCCCGACAGCGGCCGCCTCCCTTTCCCTGGGGCCTTGGAAATCGTGGGCCCACTCAGGAGTGGGAGCAAAGGCCGCTCTTGTCCACCTACTCAAACCATACCTATTCTTTAAATACTCTACTTCGAACAGTACAATGTAAGCTCCGAGAGGGCAAGAATCATGTCTAAGTCAACGGCATTTTATATTTAACACGGTGTCTGGCCCATGACGGGTACTCAATAAATATTCAGTGAATGGAATTCCCATCAAAACAAAGCAGCCTTCAGTTTTGGAGAAAGGTAATATCTGTATAGTTATTCTGCATTTACTGATAATTAATATTCTTATATGGGAATGTGAAATTAAAACTCCCAGATATTTTTGTATTAGTCTTGAGTTATACTGACCTGAGCAAAATTCATACTAAACAATTTTAAGTAAGTACTTGACTATCCAAAATTATGTAGGTGTTTTAAACAAATTTCCATTATTCTGAACCACCGGGCAGTTTGCGGTGGCTGATGGGCTAGCATTCTGTGGTATAAAAAGGAATGGGCTATAGCTGGAGAGATCCAAGGCCCATGAGGAGACACCTGAACAACTACCTCCCTGCGGCAGGGCAGTGCAGGGAAGGTTTGTCGGTTGAATGCCCGACTTTCACCTACGTTCTGACTGTTCTAACACAACACTTGAATGTTCTTATTGACAAAGACCATAGAGCAAAACATGCTGTTATTCAATACAATGTGATTGTTTCTGTACAATGCCCTAAATAAAAACCATGTTCAAAATTTATATTCAAATGCCAAGTAATGGCAGTATTATATGTGCTGCCAGACAAAAATGCACTCTACTGAATTTTATTTGTAGTTCTCACTGGTAAGAACTAAAGGCATCCTTTTAATACAGATATTGTAAATATTTTATCATTTCAAATATTAAACAACAAAACAAAACAGAACAAAAACCAAAATGAAACAAAAATACACCCTCAAGTTCAGGAAACCTATAAATATTTTTATGCTAAATTGTGAACTCTACAAATTTTGCTATTTCTATGGATCTTTGATTAAGGCAAGTCATAAATATAAAGAATCAAGTAAGAGTAGCTTTTATAAGCTAAAAATATACACCTTTCCAATGAAGATATCCAAGTTCAAACAACAGTGATTTAAAAACAAAAACATAATGTGTACCTGCAGGAAATCCCATTACATTGAATATTCTGTCCAGCTGGTCATGGTGATAAGGATTACTAGTTTTGATGTCCTCTTGTCGACAGTGAAATATTGGTTCTGACGTTAGTAGTTCTGCAAATATACACCCTATAGCCCAAATATCTTTAAAATAAAAAGACAAAAAAAAAAAAAAAAAAAAAAAAAAAAAAAAAAAAAAAAAAAAANAAAAAAAAGGAAAGAAAAAAAAAGGAAAGGAAAAAAGAAAAAGAAAGGAGGAAAATAAAGTGGTTCTTTCCAAAAGAAAATACATTTTTATCCTGATGGGGAGTGTTTTTCTTTCCTTTCTTTCCCTAGTAAGTCATATTAATTTCAAAGCAATTATAATAATAAATATCACAGAATATGGCTTGTAAGTATAGATTCCCATTCCACCCATCCCAATTTTTCATTCCCTGTTATACCTCCACCCCACCCAGTGGCTTCGTTCCAAGATTAAATCAATTTATTAGCTACATTTTTGGCGAGTTTTAAACGCCTCAAACATTACCTTATTTGTACATACAAAGCTACATATGGAGCATAGGGACCACAAACAAACAAAACTAAACAAAAAAATAAACAAACTGAAAACTCAAAACAGCCTCTGAAATGGGGCATACTTGCCAAAAATAATCAGCACAATTCTTTGTGGTAAAAAATATTTTTTTCTTTAGTTTGTTTATGTACTTGCTAACGTGTAAAGTCTAATAATTATGCTCCCATGTCAGCACTATTTAGCAAAGTGCTATTACAACAAGAAAAAGACAGTGACTGACCTCAAATATTCTAATGAAACAGTATTTCTACTTGAAGAGTTTTTGTTCAAAGTTTTTCTCTGTGGTATAGCAAGTGTCACACGATTTTGCAAGGTGAACTATTTAATAGGGACCAAAAAATGGGGGTAAAATACTACCTTTAAAATGGGTACAAAGGCTGTAACTTCATAAAAATTACTTATAAAAGCCAGGTAAATGGATTTCTCTGTACACAACAAATTCCCTTCATCTGCATTAAGGTGTAGGCTCACTTTCATGCATACTGCATCTGCACTCACTAGAAAGACCTATATACCAATTTAGAATCTGAAGCTGAAAGTGTTCCAGTTCTGCTCTTAACAAGTCCCTAAAATGACACTGCTACCTTCTTCATATTGAGTACCATGGTGTGCACACAGCAGATACTGACTTAACTGATACAACTCTAGTGGAATAAATAAAAATCACTTTTCCTAAAGCTGACTCTTCATCTATGTTATTAGTTGCCACTTAAATACAAAATGAGAAAAAAAATGTTAATCATAAAAAACAGAATTCTTAAACTCCAAAACTGAAATATATTTAATTTAAAATTATCGCATTTACATTTCAGAGTAACAAGTTAATCATCTATTTACTTAAATATATACACCCTTACTACCAACAAGTAATTTTAAAGTGACACTATTTGCTTATCCATTTACCCTACATTAGAGAACCAAGCCTAGCCAATATCACCATATGGGAAAGTCTCAGCAGGAAATGTAAACCAAGCTCTTTCATTTTTAATGTCAGAAAGTAAATGGGAAAATTAGGGAGACTGTGGTTAATTCTTTGTACATGGGTACCCCATATAAACCTGACCTTTGATCATCTTAATCAAATGAAAGATAGGCAAGCAAGCAGGATCACAAAAAGGGCTGACAGGTCAGCCTACATTTTTAAAACTCTACTCATAGCACCCAAAAGACAATGTAACAAGTCCCTCTGGTTAGCTAGGCAAAATTCTAAAAAATAAAATAAAATATGTAAAGCAAGCTAAGAGATGAGTAAGTGATCTAGGTATCCTTAAAGTATGCTGCTTTTACAATAAAAAATCACGAAAGAATAGTTTATTGAACCTTGCTTAACCTCACCCTAATAACCTCTTTCTTTATATCTCTTCTATTATTTTTCACTTTTATCAATTTTGCCAACCTTCCTTCCTTCAAAATCCTGATCCAGACATGAATCATGAATTTGAGTTTGCTGGTCAGGCCATCATTTCAGACAAATTCTAACATTTGTAAATAGTCTCTCCTTCCTATCATGCCTATTTTGACAGAAAGTCCTCTCCTGCTCACCTATCTGCTTAACTCCTTTTAGAAAGATTTTCTTTTAAATTAAAAACATGTAAGTTCCACCTACTTCTCAAAATCTGTGACATCATGTGTAGCTATTCAATTAACCAGGCAAAGTAGATAGCAACCAGCATGCTACATAGACCCAAATGGGGGAGAAAAATATTTGTTAAATAATGTTTTAATCAATAGGTGTATTAATAGCAAGCTTCTAGCTTAATAAAAGTCAATTCTCTTTCCTATTTTATCATATATTTTCCATTTTATAAAATGCTACATAATCAGTGGGCATTCAGTTATTTGAGGACAAAATCTGAGCTTGAAAGTCCGTACTTCAGTAAAACTTAAGACTCCTTTACTATTAATGAATTAAAAATTAATAACCCTCTTTCTGCCTTCTCCACAAAGTCAATCAAACAAACTAAACCCCAAACACTCAAAAATGAATTTAACTTTGTCCCTGGGAGTCCAATGCTTACTAACCTATTACTTCCTCTCTTTGGTTTAATGACTCAGCTTGCAGTTCTGAACAATAGAATAAATGACCATAGCACTAAAATCTGTTTGTAATAGAAAGTGGGAATATGTTAGTTGGATGTTCAGATTTTTTTCCCTATGCTCTTTCTTATTAGCCTTCAGTTTAACATAACCCACCAAACCAAACTCCACTAGCAGATTTAACCTTTCTAAATGATGCCCAGGTATTTGTGTATAAACTGAACCACACAGGCTCTTCTATCATCTGTTCACACTACAACTACCTGACATGGAAGGCAACCTGCTAGGGAAGTTCTTGGTACGTAGCTTTCATGGTGATGTGGGAACCTGTTGAATACTTTAATGGACTCTTAGGCTACCTGCATAGGTCATGGGAAGAATGGGATTGTGTGGGAGAGACTGAAATCAAGGAAGAAATTTAATTTTTTACTCCTTTATTCTATTTTTTAAAACTTATATTAAAAATGGTTTATGTATAATTTCTCTCTCTCTCAAACAAAAATGCAATTTGTAAGATACCAATATAATTTTTTTTGAGCTAATGTTTTCATAGAAGACTGTTCTTGGCCAAGTGAGGTGGACACGGGGTGGGGAGCACCAATGCAGAGGGACTGTCACTGACCTGAGTTTCAATCATTTGCACCCAAGTCAGAAACTTCTGTGATCTCCCTATCTCAGAAGGCAGTTGTTTTTACCTAAAGTCATAGGAGCTTTCAGAGTTGATGGGATCTAAGAGATGAGTTAGGCTAAATTCTCATTTTCACAAAATGAGGCTAAAGGAATAAATGCCTTGAACGCACGCACACACATGTACCCCCCCCCC